CTTTGTAGAACAAATGCCATATTTCTCATGTTTACCTGTTGTGACAAAAGATCAAATGATTGTAACTCATGGACCTTTTACTAACACTGGAATCCCTAGATTGTATTTCACTGTCTTATCTGGAACAACATGCCCTTATCAACGCAGCACCTTTTTTGATAACATTTTTTTGGTCCCTCTTTTACAACCCTCTTCATTTTCCTCTACTTCCTTCTTCCATCTGTCCTCCCCTGTCTCCCTCTCACTCCATCTGTTTCTCCCTCTTTCTGTCTCTTGTTTATGTCTCTCTCTCCTGTCCCTCTCCTCCGACTGTGCTTTCCATTGATCAAACAGTGAAATTGTCTCTTGCCGGCCGAACACCCATTTGTCCCCTTCACCTCTTCCCGTCCCATCTCCCTTCTCCTCTTGCCAGTGGGTAAACAGACAGAACGTCATTCTTTCTTTTGTGTCCTACAAAGAGGAGAGGAATTGCAGTCACTTCACACGAAGAATTGACTGTCTTTATGGAGCACTGCTGCCTGGGGGAGGTCTGTGCGTGTGTGTGAGTACGCTCTCCTTGGTATGCGGCCTTGGAAGTGGCCATGGTAACCCGTAATCATTTTCCCACAGTTCTCTGGGCCTAACATAAAGGCTGAAATAATTGGCTTTTTTCTGAAGTTTATCTCCAAACGGAGATCCATGCGGAGACACTAAAGTCTCATTAAACAGTGACAGAAGAACCATCAGCCAACTGTTCGTACAGAGATTTTATTGATATTCTGATTTTACATCTGTCTTCTTATCGCTGTTTTCTCCTCCTAGTTGTGTTTTCTTCTTCCAACTCAGTCAAAGTGAAACGAATTGTGATGTGTACCTTTGTTTGCAAGGCAGATAAGTATGTCCACTATCTTCAAACAAAAGTGTTCCTTATTTCTCTGATAAGTCCGCGCTTGTACTTGAATAAACATCAATCGCCACTTCAATACACAGGCAACGCTTTAAAGTTGTAGCTTTTGAAGTTACAGAACTATATCCATCTGCCTTATTATTTTATTTTTATTGCAGATAGCCACATTACATTTTTCCTATTTCGTCAGTCTCTGCCCTTGCTGAGTACATTATCAGTCACCCATGTTGCCTTAAAATAACATCCACTAACTGACGCGTCTGGGTGTCCCGCACTCCTATAGAGACACAAACACAGTAGTAGGGTTGAGCTATGGAGTGTGACATAAACAGAGCAGGGTAAGTAAGAGTCTGTGGAGGAGTGAAGTGGAACAAGAGTCACTGCATTGTAATGGAGAATGTTATAAAACACACAAAAAGTGTAATAAAAGGCACAAAGCTTGGAGCAGCAGTGATTTAGGCACAGAGCTGAGGCTGTCACAGGAGCGATTGACCTGAATCTGTTTTACATCCATGCAAAGAAATACCCAATGTCAGCTGTTGTTAAAAGTGACAAGCCCAAACCCATAACATCATTTATTCTTTCTTTCAATTTAAAGCTACTATAGGCAGAAATCTCTCCTTCTGCAGCTCTCTCCTCTCTGGCCTAAGCCCCTCCCACCAGACAACTTCATACAGTAACCCAGTGTTCCCCATACACTGATTTTCTATTGATATTTAATTGTAGAGTTGCACACAGTGCATCAAGCACTCAGCCCTTTCGTGACCTTCTCTCTCTGTGTTTATCAGACCACAAATGAGACAAGAATTAGCTGGCTAGCCACCCCATCATCCCTCTGCCTCACTCCCTGCCTCTATGGACTGCTTTCCTGTGAGGACATTGCAGGAGTTTAGAAAACGAGCCCTTGCTTGGCGTCTCACATTTGACCAGAATTTGACACCCCTGCACCAGGTGTCAAAGCGGGTTGGTGGCCAATGAGTGCTGGGTCTAACCTGTGAAATGGCAGCAAAAGAAAGTTTGCTGATGTGGCAGGTGTCCGATCCACTTGGCACTGAGGTTTGCTTTGGCTGGATATGGGTTGCTGCAGCTGCTGACTGGAGGTCTGTCTCCAGAGCTGCTGCCCGCTGTCCTCCCAGCAAGGTGGTCTGTAGTGGCAGAAAGTGAGACGGGGGACACACTGTGATTCTAGGCTGTAGCTAACATTAGCTACATAAATGTAAACCAGAAGCTGCAGCCATGAGCCTTTGGCTTTAGGTAGCAGAAGGCTAAACTATCAACGACATTTTCCGGCCATCTCTGAAACTTTGCAGATGTTGACATTTTTTATTTAGTTAAAGGAGCTATATGTAAGAAATCTAAAGCAAATAGTCGTAAAATCATCCTAATATGTCACAGAGACTAAGGAATAATGTTCATATAACATACTGATCTCACCGACAACAATAGTACAGCCAGAATATTCGCATCTAAAAAAACATTTTTACAGTCCGCAAATCATGTTTATGTTTTGAATTTGTGTTTTGGCCTGTTGCACCACCCACCGCTGTCTATCAGTCACACAGTCAGTAGAGTCTCAGCATCA